CCCTTAATCAAAAGGCATCTTCACCAATTCTATTCCCCATCGCGTGAAACCACCGATTAAACCTCGAACCGGCCCTTTATGCGTGCGCTATTGGCAGATAATGTCGCATTATCAGATACCCCAAAGACCTCACACAATGACATTGTCGTTTACTCATGGAAGCATAATGCAAACCATAAAGTACCCGAGTACGTTATGCGTTCAAAGTGCAGTGTGTGGTCTCCCTATTTTGCAAATCAACGCGCTTTTATAATAAATACCGGAGCCGTACGAAAGGTAAACGCGTTCGAGCGACTCGTTTAGTATCTATTTGTTAAGTCGTTACAATTCCATGCACTTATATCTAAACGTGTAGGTAGGTTTCTTTAAATTATGTTGCTCATTTTTCGGTTGGGAACGTCGACATGTGCACATGGTGATCTCAATCACCACTCACTAAAAGACCACTTTAAAAATAATCATAAATATGTAGCATATTTTGATTACAATAAGAAAATAAAAGATAACAATAAGGGACTTTTCGCGGCTTGATTTTTTTTGCAGAATATATGGTTTTTCCTGTCTTATATTTTTCGAATACGAATAGTTATTCCATTATTTTATAATAAATTGAATCATCTATAGCCATCATGAAAGGGTTGAAAAATATATATAATTCAATTTAATTTCTTTTACTCTTATAAAATAATTATTTAGACATCATTTACAGCATCTCTTTTCTTTAAAACACCTCTTTTAAAAATATGTAGAAGAGCATAAGTTGGAGTTGTATAGCCATACGGGGATTTTTGTAAATATTATAAAATTCACCGAGCAGTCTGTAATTTAAATTACCCATTAGTGTCTGCAATTTGTCGGTCTACCGCTAGACGCATCATCTTGAAGAGGAAAAAAAAAGTGCAGGAAAACGTGAAAGTTTTCACAATTAGTTGAAACCAGCGGAAAAGAATAAAACGGCGTAATTAAAACGAGCGGTTTCGACATGCAGTTGCGGTTAGAAGAGAAATTAAAATTTTAAAATGCGAACGTGCAGCCTTAAGAGAGGAAAATAGGCCGAAAATTCTAATATGAACGTGTTTAACTTTTAATTTGCCAATGTCTCTTATTGTAATGAATTCTTGAACTATTATTTCGGTGAAAACTTCCTTTTTTTGGGAACTTCTAGCTTGTTACCATTCCATCTCAAGTGTAGCCCTTTCTATATCAATACTTAACACACTTTATTATTTAAATAGGCCATATTTCACGGAGAGGGGAAGACCGCGCCATGCCCACAGATCAATTTCATGTAAACTTCTACCTGCGGGACCTTGCTTACCTGATGATGTCAAGGTGTTAGTTGTATAAAGGCATTAATTACTGCCGTCGCGTCACCTTGAATTCCGGCTTTCCTGTATAAATAAGCCCAAACGCCGAAGCCGTCAAAACCGATAACACTAACTTGTCGTTTATTGGTGAAGAAACTGAGGAAAGAATTCATTATCAAACGACAACTGTAAGACATTACCCTGTAAATTATTATGCTTGACGAGAAAGTTTCCAATTTATATCAAAAACTTAAAGATTGGTTTTTATCAATTTCTTAACTTAATCGTGAAGTTATTTGACAATAAATTTTGTTGATTGCCAATATTTTCCTTATCCAAAACTTTTACAATATTTAGAGACAAACACTATAACTATTCTAGTAGAAGCATTGCAGGTACCTATATGGAGTAATTTAAAAAATATTATGAGAATTTTAGCGTTATTTTTTTATTCTCGCCAAAAGACATTGATGAATGCTCCACTAATTCCTAGGTAGAACAACCTCGCATTTCTCTTACCGAGAAAATCAACTTATAATTGTCGACCGACAATAATTTAAACAATATTCCCATACCTCTCTCGAATCCAAAAAAAAAATATATAATTCGTGTTTTTCTATCTATCATCGGATTGACAGGCGCAAATCAAGGGCATTTAAAAAATAATCGTACCGAATTAAAGAGCCAGAAATAATTACCCGGGACAATTACGAGCCAATAACAAAACAACAATGGGACTATTAAACAATTAAATGCAATCTGTTTGGCCCGTTCGGGTGAAACTCACGCGATTTTTCTGTCAGTTCAAAGATTGATGGATCAAGTGATCTCTCAGGCATTCGGCAGTTCTTTGGGGATCCGATCTTTCGTTAGAAAGTAAATCACGGGACGATCGCTACACTACAGCGTCGCTTCGATGAAAAATATATTTGGTATTTTTTATAAGCCACTACAGGGCATTTGGATTTCCTAGTTAATAATGCAGCAGATATGCAGGATATTAAATGAATGTCATTTGATTGGATTTTTAACCGATCGCAGCATTACCAAATTTTCAAAAAGGCAATGAATTTGAGTCAAGTGTGAATTATTTGGAGTAAAGTGTCGGTAGGGGACGCCGCTGTCGCTGAAAAACCACCTTACCGCAACAATTCGTTGCCAGGGGAATTACCGGGTAATTGCCGAACGCCGTGACCGCCAGCCTCGTTATTTTGAGGTTAGAAAATTTGATTGACAGCTTCCAGTTTTTCTCGATGGTAATTTATGTGGTTTTCGTTATGAAATATTAGACTCGCGTCAGTCGGATATGTTTATTGCCTTGGCCAATCGGTTATTTGTTGCGGTCGGAGCCGTGCTTTTTTTTTAATACTTAATGGTTCTTTGTTTTCATTTTTTGATTTTAATGACTGTATAATAAGGTTGAAGTATGTCTGGTATGGGAAAATTGATTCGACGCGGGGTTTATGGGAAAGGCGACTATAAAATTTATTAATCTAAAAGTGTGAAGTATTCGAAAATAGAAAATCGGATTGCGGCGCGCGAACGTTCTTTGATTATTTCGCAAATTATCGGAGATTTGATTTATCTCTTAATGATTTTTCGATGCTCTGAGTAAATAGTTAATGTTATTCATTTTTATAATGTGTAACTAATCTATTTATTAAATACCAAACACATTTAGATCACATATTTATCGAATTACAAACTATCTATTTAATAGATATTTTATATGTGTAAAGGCGCAAAAATGTTGAACCCTCTAAATAATTCCCCGGAATTAAATCCACTCGGTTAATCACATTATAATAGCACGTTTCGATGGCACAATAATGAAACTTGTTATTCACAGTAGTCATTTGGATGTGTTTAAATTTCATCGAAAATAAACGCCGTCTAAAGACATTTTAATTTGTCTCAAAACTCGAAAAATGGAACTATTTTCCCAGAGACTATCGGAGATTACGATATCATTCTGGCGCCTACACTGAGAAAAATAAATTTTTATACATAAAGAAACGCAAACTGATATTAATTCGCACATAGGTATTTTGTATCTATTATTTAGGTAATTCTTGGTAAAAAATGTAACAATATTTCAAAGGCATAAGTTATTTTTTTTAAATTTGAACTTACTGCCTAGACAAAATTATAATTTGTAAGTGTTAATAAGTGAATTCGTTTAAAATGTTCATTTATAAAACACAAGTTTGAGTGTATAGAAACATTAGAGCAGACAAGAATATAAAATTGAATTAATTTTTTAAACCTTCAAAATCCCCTAATATCCTAATTCCTACAGTAATTTATAATCATGTTGATTAAATTCATATTTTTTTAAATAGGTCCTTAAGGAATCGGCGCCGGACGGACATTATTATAGTCGAAACACTTTATAATTTCATGTAAGGGTGGTTAAATAAAATAATATTACCCACGCATTTATGAGTCAATTAAAAAAAGAAAGAGTTGTAAAAAAAATTATAAAATATTTTTTGGAATGTTAGCAACTTTTTGATGGCCTCTTTACTTTTTTTAAATGATTTTACAAGCCTTATTTTTAATAGTTTTTAGTCATTTTATAAAGTTAGAAGGTTTTTCTATTATTTTAAGAATTTCTTAAAACAATTTCTTAAAAAAATATTTTTAGCTCATTTTCCATTAATTTACAAATGTATTTTTTATGATTATTTTTTTAAATTTAATTCTTAATTTTTTAATATAACAATTTTAATTGATTTATTTTTCAGGAAGTTTGGAGTTCCTACGACAAACACCAATTATTATCGAAATATGCACGGCATACATATTAGTGAACGTTTAATAAGTAGTTCGCAAAAAAACTAATCTCCAAAGGTAGCGATTTTTATTCACACGGTGCGAAAGAGCGCTCTTCTGCGAACCGATACGAATCTAACGAATAAAAAAAGCCTGGAAATTCGTAAAGAAAAGAGAAATAATCCACGATGATGTATTAATGTTTTCGGTGTGTGCCGAACTCGCCGGGGTCGGCTCAGGCTCTATACTTAAGTGTCTCCAGAGGCGTTCCTCGAAGGGTCGCGCACTAGCGCATACACACACGCGGGCCGAACCCGAGGCGCCCTCGGACTCCTCTAACCGATAATTTCATTGTTTATGTGGGTGGGGTGGCTCGCAACCGATTATAAAATGATTCGAGAAATTTTCCCAAGACTAAATGTATAATTGCGTGTTTTCGTTTCTGTGCCTCCTGATGACTAATATCGCTCATGCCATCACGTAGCGAACTGTTTTCGGCTATGCCGAAATTTGATGTAAATGTTACCTACCAATTTCGCTTAAGTTAATTTCATTTAAGGTAGGCCATTCGCTTCAAAAAATTAACGTCAAATATAAAAAAAATAATGATAGCGAATACACCATAATTCAGGGATAATAGAACTTTGGATTATAATAGACAAATTAGTATCTATAGGGCAACAGTGAATTCATGAAAGAATTACAAGTGAAGAAAACAATATCCTTATCCACCATTCATTGAACTACCTAGAGTAGGTACTTAAAAGTTATAACAACATAATAGGAAAACTGTTTACTATAGTTCACTTAGAAAACTAGTCACATATATTATAGTAATATTGATTATCTATTGTATATCATTTTTAATTATTAGAAGTTTTTAGTTATAGGTAATTAATATCAAATTTTATTTGTAAAGCAAACCGCTGGAATTTAAATTAAAGTCTAAACGATTAAAGATAAAAAAAACGAAGAAAGTTAACGAACGCTATAAAAGGTATAAAACTCACCCGAATTTAGCGAAGGAGCTTATAATAACACACCCGCAACCGAAATAACTAACCGACTAAATTTCCAAAAAATCGTTATATAAAATGCCATTCGTCGGTAATGATAGTCTTTGTCCGCAAAAGATCACGTTTTATAAAAGCGACCACCTAAACTATATTTATCCGGGCCGAAAAAATGATGAGCTTTTTGAATGGAATCGAAATCGGCGCTCCGGCTTAGACGGTTTTAGGAGAGGCCGCACGGGGGAATTGCGAGAGGATCCCGTGGCGCCCTGGGTCGCACCCGAGTACTCAACCCCGCAATTATCCTGGCCAGAGGCGGGCCCGAAAGGACTACGACAGTTTTATACGTTTTAGAAAATTAGAGGTTTGCATTGAAAGCTTCGCCGCCTCTAAAACTTTCCCAAAAGTTTCACAGGTATATCTAATAGAGGCGATTTTACCAAAAGCGGGTTTCGAATCAACCGACAAAAAATTTACACAATTAGTGATCATTTTAAAATTAATTCTGTAGTAATTGATTGTATTATTTTATTGTAAATAGTAGTGAAGTTATATATAGTACAAGGTGTCATATAATAATGTTCAAAATATCAAGAGAATCTCTTTTTTATTTTAACTTTAGCACTTTGCAATTTCTTTACTAAGTACTTTTGGATATACTTCTGACAAAAATTCTGATTTAAATTACCTGCACTTAATATTATCAACTATTTCAAGTTTTTGTATGTATACAATAGGTAACACTGTTCTTAATTAGCATGTAAAAAATTAGAGAGATTTCTCAATCAGTTTGGTTTTAGCAGCTCATCAGTTCAGCAAAATCAGTTCATCTCAGTGGTGCTCTGCGAATTTTCCAATAGACAAAAATAATGATTTCAGTGCCAACTTCATGTTAAATTGTGTACAATTGGATCGGTAGGTGTGTAACGCCTTTAAAAACATAATTTTTCGGTATTTCCATGAACAGTTCCGACTTCAAAATTCAAAATTCCTCTGTCCAGATTTAATTGAATTTTGGGCCCCGAGGCGGATCCGACGTCATTCAACTCGCATTTCCGAATTGTTTCCATTTATCTTACTTAGAATTGACCGGGCGGCAAATCTAAATCACAAATATCGATATTGTTAGTTAATTTATTACCTGCTGCTACCGACATTATATTTATTGTCTACATTCGAGAGGATCTTTGCGGTAAACTGCCACCGATATTCTCGCATTTAATTTCGGGTAAAATATCTAATTAGCAATGCGGTTGATTTCGAGGAAAACAGAGAGCCCAAGCCTATGGATACTATAATTTTCTTGAATGATTCAAGTTATGACAGTTCCTTGAAAAATTCTTTAATAAATTGATTACGGAGGTAAATAAATACATTTATACCTACAATGACAGCTGAATGTCCTATCCTTAATGTCCCTTTTATTATTTTTGATCTTTAAAATAAACAGATATAAAAACCGACTATTACGCTTATGAAATCACTTAATTAAATTCATTTATAATTGTAATCCAATCTAGATCTGTCACAATTATTATACAATACATTAAACACTTTGCCTCCGCTGCTTATAAAGGATTAACCAGGCGCTTTCGACTGGACGTTTTTTTAATTATCGCCTCGAATCCTTTTCGGTACGTTCGCACCGCGTATGCCTATCCTTTTCACGATTTTTCCGGCGATAGCATCGTCGAACGGCTTTAATCCTCTCGAATGGGAATCCACCAAAAACCCGAAGACAATCTCGAAGAATGTTATCTTCGATCGGCCGTTTCGAGGCTTCTTTATTCAGGCAATCTCTAAATAATCTGGTTAGGAAAGCTGTCATTTCGTCGTGTAAAAGTCGCAAGTGCAGACGTTAACTTAACGCCTTTCTATTTCGGATGAAGTGGTAGAAATCCGTTTAATGGTCGACAGTCCGATCTGTCGGATTTATAAGGAGTGGGTCTCTCTAAATCCCGCTGTTGGTACTCATAAAAATTAGTACCCAGCTACTTTAATCACTACTAAACGACGGATTAGGTGACAGATTAATGAACTTGCAGATCATGTTAAACGGGTCACTTCAGCAAGTTTAAAAAAAATACTGGCAACTTCTACTGATTTTGTTTATTTTTTATACGATACAAGGGTATCATCATTCATCAAGCTATTTGCTGAAAGCCATTGGAATATTTTTATGCAGCTAATAAACCAGAAAAAGTATATCAGAAATTAGTAGCGTCATATCACAGATAGATTGAATGTACAACTATAGTAAAAACTCTTTCATTTAACACATGTGATGAATAATTTAGTAAAACGATTAGAGTATCATCCTGTATAAAACGGAATGGCAAGCAACGATACAAAACGCTTGTAGAATATTCACCAAGTTTCCATCCGCGTATAATATATCGAAGCTCAACACTGTAGATCAACGTAAGTACGTACACCATTGTGTCTAAGACGGCTATGATGGAAGATCATAGGTCACTCCCAGGTCACACACCTGCCCTAAAGGCTCACGAACTCACCCGAAACTTAACGATCACCACCCACATTCGAGTCCGCATTCAGAATGAGCCGACGTGTATACGCTTTAACTTGTCATTTATTATTATTGCCTATTCGTTTACATTATCATATCAATGCTGAAAATACCTGTTCCGGCGTGTTCGCTGTCCGAATGCGACTCGACCAATCTTCGGATTTCTATATATTACATGTTTCTAATTCCGTCGGTTTTGCGCTAATTGCATAGTATTGGTAGATTATTGTTTATACCAAGCAATTAATGTAACAATTTCTAATAGGATTGCCATATTATGAGGAGTTTGGTAACTTTTTAGAGGGACACTATGTATAATATTTACTGGTAGTTCTCACATATAGAAATATCCTTTGGGGTATAATATACATAGAATGTAGGTACAGGTATATGATATAGCAGCGATTGAATTTCCATCCGTGCAATAGAAATATCGGTTATTAATAATTCCTATCACCACGAAATGTGGGGTCTGGTCGGCGAGGAAACGTTAGCCGAACCTAGATTTTAGCGGAAAACCTATAATTTCGACCCATTTGGAAACGTCATCATTACCCTTTGCCGGGGACGTTGATCGTTCGGGCTGCTATCTCGAAATCCTTCAGTTATGAAGCGCGTGTCTACCAACATCCTCGAGGGTATGTAGGAGGAAGGGATCGTGGGAAACATGCCAAAGATTATGTTAATCGCTCCGTTTACGGTATTACAGAGCCGTACCGGCTGTCTCACGATGCTTTTTTAACGGTTTATCAACTTATTACTGCTCCGGGACCAACTAACAGCGTTAACTTACTTTCGACTCCTTTATGGGCCGCCTCGACTTCGAACGAATATCTAACTATCGCATTTTAAATTATCTACACTTTGTAATTCCTACCTACATTTATAATTTCTTACCTATATGCATTCTACTATTAACTGTCAAAGAAATTAACAAAAATTTTAAAGAAAATATGATGCGTTGTTAAGATATGTTAAAGGAAATATTAAATTAATGCTGGTGGCTTTAAACCTGTATACAGGGTGGCCCAGAACTCACGCCCCACCAGGAAAGGCCTTATGGAAACGACAATGGAGATCACAAAACTGCAGTCGAAGACATGAAAAAGATATTCCTTTGGTAAATAGAGATTTAAATTCGATCAATCTCAGTAGCAGCTGCGACTATTGATCAATGATTTGTTTCCAAATAGATCATTCAAATCCTTCAAGTTCGAATCCAAATGATCAAATTTTTTGATCGATTTGAAAGCGAATCTTTGATCAATAGTCGCAGCTTTTGTATAATTACCATCAGGATACTTTACATGCCTGATGCAGGTATTGCGTATTCTCTACCTTAAAAGTATATATAAATTTAATTTTTTCATTAGTTTTAATAAAAAAAACAAACTTGTAAAATTGAAATTGATTAGGTACAATTATACCTCTACATCCACTTGTGCGTCATTAAAAATCCACTTTCGATTTCTATATACCTACGCCAATAAACTCCTAAAAAAACAACTTTTACAACCCAATTCCGTCGCTACAACAGGAAAACAGTTGGTAATTCCAATTACCGTTTATCGGTGAAAAAAATTCTACCTGACGAAACAATCGCCTCTAATTATAATGATTTTATTGAGCGCAATTCACGCCTCTTAAGCATTACGGAAGCTTCCAATAAAAGCAACAGCGCCATCGGTTTCGGTCGCCTCGTTTATATTTTCGGTAAAGGAATAAAAAATTCAAACTAACAAGCAAGGCTGTAAAATTGTAAAACGGCCTAATGAGCGAGCGTCGTGCAATAAAAATGCTAATCCTACGGGGTGCTTATAAAACTACTCGCTATATCCAGGTTTATTCTAATCACCCTCTACATCTTCAAGTACATGAAGTTAATGAGTTAACATGTATTAACATTGAAATGACATGATGATTAGAAATTAATTCCTCGAGTACAAGGTAATCCAAAGTTTGGATATGATAGTGGTACCGATGGATCACGCTGTAGAAACACAAACGGGTTGGTAAAACTATATGGAATTGTCGGGACTGGGGCGGCTGGAAATTTATTGTCATCATCATCGTCGGCTTTTTCAACGGTTTTAAAATTGTCGGTGCGCCGAAGAACAGTACCATGTTTAACCTTTGGTCGTTGTCGCTGGTGTCAAACGGAACACAAGCGTCACGAAATATGGGGGCGCCAGAGTACCCGCTGAGGTCCCCGGGATACCGACAGCGACTACTTTCTGTCAACGAGGGTATTTTTTCGATACGCACCGACTGGTTTTTTTATTATTTGTTATTAATAACGCTTTCCGTAAACTTGATCAGTTCATAAATATCGAAACGTTTAGACGTATAAATGTACAAAAAATTCGGAGTTTCACAATTTCACATATGGGAGTTTCGCTGTGTTTTTTTAATAAAAATTGTTTCTATACCACGTGCACCGCAAACCCGTAATTACCGTTGGCCTAAAGGCTTGTTTAGTGAAGTTTCTCACGCTTAACGTCCGAGAATTAGTCATGTGGTCCGCGGTCCAGTTGAAAAATCCGAATCGCCCGCGTTCGGCCCAGATTATGCCCAATTATTCGATTACGTTTCGATTTTTCGGCCTCGGAGGTTATGCGAGTTTGTGTGATTTATTCGGATCGACGGATAGTTTTTTTAATGATCGGGTTGCTCTTTCCACCGAAGAAGCTCTGATGGGATAATTCCTCTGGTGACGTATCGGAATTTCGAACGATATGGGAAGAATTTAATGCCGATAAAAGTTTCCATTTGATTATATACAATAGAAATAATCACAACATTTTGGAGTAATTATCCGGCACACCGGAATTTCCCACCGAAAAATCACAATACCTGTTTGAATATTTTACATAGGACAAGTGTAAAAATGTAGATAAATTTATAATTACCTTATGGATTAGTTTACACTAGTTGTGGGATAATAAGGGATCTTTAGAAGGTGCAACCCTTTTAATAAAATTTAGCGAACAATTAACCCATTATGTATCTCTTTAAAATTAAATTTCGAGTCACGA